AGACAGAATAGCAGCTATTCAGAATAACCACGTGCAGTAAGGGCTATTATGGTGTCACCAGTAGGTAATTGACTATTTGCCTACAGAAAATGGCTAGCCTGGAATAACTGCAAGTACATGATACTAACAGGGGTATAATTCATACTCTCATAGTTTACCTCTGATTTTTCTTAGAGCTATTTTATGCTAGAGTCTAGTAAATTATACCCAGACAGGGGCTTATGGCATTTGTTTTCTCTTTGTTGCACCTATGTAAACATACCTGCCCAGTCATTACATTGGTGGACACATTGGATGCCCAAACCTTCAGAAAAAATAGAAGGCAGAGCCAGCTAGTGAAAAAATTGAAAATGTTAAGGGGCTAGGAAGGGGTGGGGGGAAATAAAAATAATCAGTTTTGGCAGAAAAAAAACCCCTCTTGTGTTAAAGTCAAGACTGCCTGCAACTAATAATAGACTTACGCTACAACTGTTTATATTGGTTTCACACAGGTCATCATTGCAGGATTCAATGCAAAAACAATACTGACCAAAGAACTAGCATCAGCAGGTGCTGGATTTGTATGTAGCTTTGAGATGTGCTCATTTAATACGTATCTTTGCTTGTCCATTAACAAGCTGGACAGGTTGTAGTATGGTACCTGATCTGTCCTGATAAGCCACTTCTTTTGTAGTCCAAGGCTATGAGCCTCATTTTCCTTTCATTTATGCATGTATTATATTAATATAATTCCAGTGTTTTAACATAGAGCAGAACCAGGTTCTACATGCTGTGTGAACAGAACTGAAAGGGGAACAGGTGCTGTGACTGGAATCTAAGTCAAAGCAAGACCCCCATTTACTACACTGGGGATGTCTACATGAGATGCTTTACTTGAGATTAGCACAAATTACTGCACAGTAAACATCACTATCTACACGTGCAGATGCTTACTGCACGGTAGTTTGCTCTAATTGCGAGTAAATTTGCTACCTGTAAATACAAGTATCAAATTGACTCACAGTTGCTGTGCTGCACAAAATTTGTAGATGGCTGACAGGGAACAAACTTGTTCCTGGTCAGCCAGGCACATGGGGAAGGAGATTGCTCCCTGCCACTGGGACCTGCCTGCTACTGGAGTGGGCTCTGCCACCGGAACCCAGGCAGGGACAATGTCCCCCTGCCCCAGCAGCAGGGAGCTCCCAACCCCCGCTCCCTGATTACAATCACAGAGTCGGGGCTGGGAACAAGCTCCCAGACAGTTCCCAGCCCCTGCTCCACAATCACGGAGCTGGGGCTGGGAACAAGCTCCTAGCCCTCGCTCTGCAACTGTGGAGTGGGTGCTGGGAGCTCACTATACAGGGAGAGTTCGCCACCCAGCCTGGAGCTGGCTGGGACCTGCCCCTGACCAGCCCTGGACTCTGCAGGTAGGTCTGCATATGCAGCCTGGAGGTGGCTGGGGACTGTCCCATTTCAGATAGTCTCCAGCCAAATCCAAGCTGCACAGGCAAACTTCCCTGTGCAGCCTGGTGCTGGCTGGGAACTGTCCTAGTCAGAGGTAGGTGCCATCCCTGTGCCCCAAGTGAGTATGGGGCTTGGAAAGAGCTGCATGGGCAGGGGGCAGGTCCCAGCCCTCTACCTGCATGTAGGAGCGAGCCCCCAGGTGGATGGGAAATCCCTGGACTCATTGCTAGCTGTCCTACCAGCAGATGGGGCAGGGGAGCAGGACCTGCCCTTCCACTGCAGCTCTTTTCAAGCTCCCTACCCCCAGTCAGGGAGCTGGGGCAAGGAGCTCCCTGCTGCCAGGGCAGGGGGACATTATCCCCAGCCAGGCTTTGGTGGTGGAGCCTGCCCCAGCAGCAGGCAGCTCCTGGGGACAAGGAGTAATCTCCCAGCTCCTGCCAGGATATAGCTGTTTCCTGGCTGCTCCCTGCCAGGCCCTGGACTAGCTTAGAGCTCCCCCTGGCATGGCAGCTGCAAAGGGCCAGTGTAGTGCTGGAGGGGGCAGGAGAAGACTGCTTCCGGGAGCAGCAAATCTGGTCCTGCAACCCTGCACATGTAGACACCTGCTCAGGGTGAGAATAAATGATTCTAGAGTAATTTATTCTAGAGTAAAGCCACCCTGCAGCATTTGTACGTGTAGATGCATTCTGAGAGCATGACTGGGCTGTAGATAGGGGATTTAAACCTTACCAAGTTTGACAGTAGTATTACCTGATTTTGTAAGGGTCCCTTCTGTCCTTGGAGTCCAAAGGTGAAGGGTTGGCTCCACTGAGGTCAAAGAAAAGATTTCCATTGACCAAAACTGAAATCTGGATTTTACCTTTTCAACCTGTAAGTTTGGTCTAGAAGCAAGTCCATGGTTATAACTTTGTAGTTAGCCATTTTTTCCATGTACCAGGAAAAAAATAGTTTCAATAGGAAAAAACAGCATATTATGAAAATCCGCGGTGCTGCAGCTGGCCTTTTATAGCGGGAATTATTCAAGTGTTGGTATACATTCATGGTACATGTAAGTAATGTCTAAATATCACTTTGGGACTTTTATGCTTTAAGAGAGGAAAGATTTTGTGGCAATTTGCAGATGTACATTTAATTGTTTCCTTTCAGCAGAATCACTTTTCTCTTCATAACTTCTTGGCACCAGATTCCAGGATTTTCTGGTAATGCATTAAAGCTCCAGACTGCTGGCACCAAGGAGTTAGGCACTCAAGTCTCCCATAGATTTCGCTCAATTTTGATTTGGGCTTCAAGTGAAAAAGAGATGAAATAAAATACTTTACAGAGTCAGTGTTCATTTAGGTCCAGCCCTGCTTTTGAAGTGGTTCAGGAAAAGAAAGCATTCTGCCAGCAGGACAGTGCAAAGCTTTGGGTTCTGATTCAATTCAGAGGAGATTCAGCCCAATTCGGTGGCTGAATCTGCAAATCCAAATTGAATCAGGGGACCAAAAAAAAGGTCTAAATTGATTCAAAGCTCCCTGCCCACTGCAGCAGGGACCTGGAGCCAGACCTGGACCCCTGCCAGCCCCCAACTC